CTGGCCGGATGAAGTAGAGGTAAACCGCGATGTATGAGAACAACTTCTTGGGAAAGGCAACTAGCGTGGGTGCAAATTCTCTGTTGCGCTGTTTTGCCTTGGGGTGGGTAGCAATGAAGGTGTTGTCCACAATCCAGACATTTCGGTCCATCGATTCCGAACAATCAAAGCGAACGGACGATAACTGCCACCCACGGAAGCTAACACCGGTGGAGAGGACGAGGATATTTGCCAGGGAGTCAAGGGCCATTTGCTCTTGCTCCAACCAACAGTTGGCTTGACGAAGGTCGACTTGGATTTCGCCCTCTTTCGCAGATATATGGTCAAAAACCAACTTCCTCAGCTGACTTTGTACGGGGCCCATCCACCTGAGGTTTTGGACTTGTCGATGGGGTGCAAGTCTGATCCCCTCATCCTTGATTTTGCGCATCAACCTCATGGAATTCTCAAGGAAGTCAGCATCCGACATTGCCAGAGAAAGGACGGCGTCTCGAAAATTGGTGTCCGCTTCTTTGCACGCAGCAGCCCAAGCGCGCATATCTATTTGCTTCGGGGGAGCTCCTAGCCTCCCGAAGCTCCACAAATGGCCATCCCCCGATGAGTTGAATTGCGTTGAGCCAGTTTCCTCACGAGCGTATCGATCGACTTTGAGCCAAACGTAGTGAAGGCGGGAAAATGGGGTTGAGCAACCCCCTGCTGTCCTGATTGTCAGCCACGGCTCTTCTTCGTTTATGAGGCTAAAAGAATTTTCTATGGTCAGTCTGCCCTTGAGTGGATGAAAATGAAAATCACTTACGGGATGAGCGATTGTGAATTACTGGCGGCGGCCTGCTCTGGGGAGGGATTGCCATGGTCAGTCGAGCGTTGATCGACATCACAATCTTGACGGTCTAGAGAATGGAATATTAGCAAGGGATGACGGTGGAGGAGAATAAATTGAGCTCACACGTGTAAACCTCATTCATGATTTTTTCCAATAAAAGCTCATCGTCGACGTCTTCATGTTGATCCTGTTCATCCTCGCTGTCTTGTATAATATATTCTTCTTGAAATTCATCCGTACTGAGATTTTCATCTTCAGAGTCGTCAGGATGAGGGGGAGCTTCTTCAGCAAATTCTGTGTTCGAGGCATCGGCGTTGGTTTCCAGGGGCTTTGTGGCCTCATACCACTTAAAAGTGTTCAATTTAGCATACTTTTGACGTACAATGTGGATCATGACGCTGCGTAGGCAATGCTGGAGGGCTGAGCACGTTGATTTGACGGAGCTCGCAGGGGCATACATTTCTTGTGGCCGAACGCCGAGCAAGAAAAGGACTTGATCGGTGGGGCATGCAAGGGCGTCGCTGGGCGACAGATCCCCTGGTTTCAACAGTGTTACGCAGAATTTATGGACGACATCTGGCAGTTCAGGGTCTGGGAGTCCCCGCGCTTTGATAATGGCGGTATAAAGGTTAAGAGCACCTTCAAGCTGGTTCCCTGCCAGCAGCAGTGAGATGGCGCCTGCACCAGATCCACGGTGAATGTTCTGGTGCAGTAGCCTCATTGATAGTGCAATGGTACGGCTTAACGCTCTGGAGTATTCTCGGTATTTGCCTGTTGTCAATGTCCTAAAGTGCCCGCGTTCACTCCTTAGGACAAACGCGTGCAGCTATTAGCCTATGTAACCAGTCAAAAGTACAAAAACTCACTTATATGTGATTGCATCCCGTACACCTTCGTGACAGGTTGCTAGAAACTGTTCGGCGTTGACAAGATATTCAAAACAAAATTCAAAGATTTGATGAAGGCCGCTTTCCAGCCATTTTCGACCCCCCCTCCCGATGCTTTTTTTGCTTGGAATGGCAGTCAAAGCCCACAAGGAACCAAAGCTTGGATTCCCACATGCTTCTCGATAAGCGAACCATCCGATGGTTTTCATCCAAGGTGCCTGAGTTTGAGCCAGAGCCGCTGCTTCCTGATAATGGGCTGGAGGATCAGCAGCGATGGCAGGTTCGATGGGTTCAGTCATTTGGGTTACGCCTGGAGGGGACCAGTCAGGAGGTAGGCGAAAGACGTGGTAGACCTTTGGGCGCAGCATCAACATCTGGGTCCAGAGAGGAGATTTTGCAACACCAGGGAAGTCTCGTATGCTCTGCCCATGTTTAGTTTGAATATGTTTTGACAATTGATGATGATAACTCATTGTTTTGCCGTAGCTGACAGTGGCCCAATCGCCACAGTTTGAAACTGGACACGGAAAACGTCCTGCAATTGAGGGACGAACGCCGTCGTATGGAAGGATCACGGTAATTGGTTGTGATATGCTGCTGGGGAGATTTAGGTCACTTGTTGAAGAAATGAGGCCAAAGCTCTCCGCAACGTGCTGGATCATCGGCAGGATGTGGCGTTTTTCACGGGCTTGACCGCTGAGATCGGTGTGGCTCTGCTGAACATGGGAAAGCCAAAGGTCAGGGGTGACTCCGCGGTTGTGGGTGGGGCATATAACGAGCTCCAGTTCTGAGTGATAATAAAACCCATAGAATGTTAGGACCTGGCAGCGTTTGTGAGATCGAGATGGCACGCTGGCACAATCGCAGCAGTGGTTGTCAAGGAAAACGAAGCCGGTTCGCATTTTGCCAGGAAGGCGAACAGTGTTGAGAGGAGGAATGACAGCGCGAGCAACCAGGCGTTCCCGATGGGGCGCACGGGGAGGCGGGTTTGCTGCTTGCTGCGTTCGTTTCGTCGACTGAGACTCATATTTCTTCCTGTCGGTTTTACGTTTCTTTTTAGATAGCGGCAGGTGGGTTGACTCTCCAACTTTTCTCTTTGTCGGGAGGTTGTATTCCTCTTCGTCCGAATCGGAATCATCTTCGTCACTGTCCGAGTCGCCGCGATAGTCCAAATCAGATCCAGGTGAGACCTGTCTTCTCCTAATGCTCCATCTCGTATTCCTTTCGTGCGTTCGCTACA